ATTTTTATGTGAGGGATTTACCAATGCACTCAAGGAGGTTGCTATCGTAGTAGAAGCCCTGTTGACAGTAGCACTCGTAGCCTGGAAGCGTGTTCTCACAGCGACCTTTCTTACAGATTTCTTCAGCAAACAAGGAACACTCGTCAATATCTGTGGACAAGGAGAGAAAGATTGCTTCCTGAGCGGCAGATTCACAGCTGATTCTCAGCTGATTCTCAGAGGGATTAACTGACAACTGTGACTAACAGCAAACATTAGAAACTGTCAGCTTCTTTGGACACGGATGAAACAAAGGCTCTGCAGCTGATTAAAGTGGAGCTCAGATTGTTTTAACATCACAGAATGGATTAAGCACTGTGTAATTCTGGTGTGCAGTATGTGATCTTGGCTCTGACTTTACACAATACCTACCCTGGTAGGCCGGGAGGTTGTACTGGAGACGCTCTTCATAGTAGAGACCTTGCCCATTTGGACAAAGGTCGTGGAACTCGGCTGGGTTGGAGAAGTAAAAGTTGAATTCACAGTACATGATGTAATTTCCACGTATTTACTGAACACAAATATAAGTTGACTTGCTTTTTGTGTACATGGTAAGGTTCACATTTACCTGAATGGGAGACAGGACAGGGATAGATCTCACAGTGATCTCCCCATCCCACTCCGATGGAGCAGCAGCACTCCTGCTTGGTGACATTGGTGGCCAGGACGCTATCGCAGAAAACGGTGTCATCAAGGTTCAGGTAGCACTCTTTCTTCTCATCCATCACCACTCGAACAGCTGCAGCATGAGGAGCGTTTAGTGTGGATTTCCAGCGACTTCACTGGGCTACAAACGGCCTTGGGTTTAACTCAGTTCAACTTTATTTATATAGCACCAAATCACCACAAATCACCTCAAGTTAGACCCTACTATAATGCAAAGCCCAGATGCCCTTTCTTTTTGACCTTAACAGCTCATACATATACAGAATATGATGATTTATGTCGTCTGAGGAAATCAGAGCAGACTTACGCTCACAGTAGTGTCTATCCTCTGAGAGGATGTAACCGTGATTGCAGACACACTCGTACGAGCCCGGTTTGTTCCCACAAAAGCCGTGGGGCTGGCAGAGACTTCTGTCCAAGGCACATTCATCAATGTCTGAAAAAGAAATCAGACGGGCTGCTCTAAATATGGGAATTCACACAACACCTGAGTTGTGAGTAAGAAAAAAGTGTGCTGTTTGTGCATTTTCAAACATTTACCACACGACGACACGCACCAACAGCTGACAGTCGTCAGCTTCATAAAATGATTCACAAAAATGACGACCTTTCAGAATTTTAATTAAAAGGCAAAACGTGGTGTTCAATCCAATTCACAACATTATCATTTATTACACACATGACGTGACTGACTGACCTTGGCATTCCCTGCCTCCGACCAGTTTGTACCCCTGCTGGCACTCGCAGTGGTATGTACCCATCTTGTTGATACAGCGGCCCCCATGACAGCTTGATGGATTTTTACACTCGTTGATATCTGACGGGAAGGAAACAAATACAGCGCCAGAATGTGAAGCATGTGATGGGAAGCTGGAGCTCTGTTCTTTCCTCGAACTGGTCAAGGCTTCACTGAACTTTTTTTTATGTGCTCTTAATAAAAGCAGGTGGTTAAAAGATTGCATTTCACTGTCAGCGCTATCTGAGTGTATGGTTTCATGCCTTCACAGTGGCTGCCCTCTTGCGTGCGCTGGTATCCTGGGTAGCAATGGCATTTGAAGGAGCCGTCAGTATTGATGCAGTGGCCGTTAGCGCACAGCCGAATGTCCGCACACTCATCGATGTCTGCGTGGGAGAAATCATTTCAGTGAACCCAGCTGGTGCAAACACACCTTCTTTTATTGACAACTCCTCGTTAAAATGCGCTTGTGGGGATGAGGTTGCTCAGTTTTAAGACAGGCTTGTTCCAGGTGACAAAAGCATTACTTACCAGTGCAAGATTTGCTGTCTACAGATGGGAGGAAGCCCTCGTTGCACAGGCAGCGGTAGGTACCAGCCAGGTTCTCACAGTGACCGTTAGGGCAGATGCCAGGCTTCTGACACTCATTAATATCTGGTGAAACGTGGGAGAGATCCAAACAACTTAGTGTGATGCAGTAGCCACAGATCGCTGTTTCTGCTGAGTTTACCTGCGTATTATCTTGATGTTTGGGTTTGACAAGACCTGATAACCGTTCCTGTCACTCTACTACAAATTCCTGCTACTGGAAGCATTTGCCAGTTATTTTTGGGGATTTGACATGTGATTTATGTTCAAGTTCTATATTTAGTCCTTTGACTATGATATCATTTCCTAGTGCTTCAGAGCTTTGTTTCCTACGCTGCTAGTGACCTTTCCTGTCCATTCTCTCCTAGCCTCATCTCTGTGTTTTGGCTTTTAGCTCTCCTTTGGGAAGTCAGCACTGTTTCCATGTCAAGTTTGGATGTTTGAGTCTGTGTCTCAGTGTTATTTATTTCCCGTTTTATTTTGACAATCTCTTGTCTCCTGTGTTTTGTGGTTAGTTCTACTTCCCTCAGCTCGTCCTCGGTGATTAGTCCCACCTGTTTCCTCACCCCTCATTATCTCATGTGTATTTATTCTTTGTTGTGTATTCCCTCGTGGTAGTGTGTTCCTTTGCCCTGTATCTCCTGTGTTTTACTTCAAGAATCAAGTTCCTACCCAGTAGCTGTTTTTGGATTTGTTTTCCTGTGGACTTCCAGCAATAAAGCTGTGCCTTTGAGCTCATTCCTGGTTTCCAGGCCCTGCATTTGGGTCCTAATCCTGTCTGCCTCACTGCCGAATCCTGTTGTATGACTTCTTGTCTTATTTTGTGAGTCTCTTGTGCCTTGTTCTTAGTTCTACTTCCTGTGTCTTTGATTAGTTTCCCAGGTGCTGTCACTTCCCCTAATTGCCTTCTGTGTGTTGCTGTGTATTTACTGCCTCAGTCCACTTTTGCTCCCAGTCATGTCATACTGTTTTGATCCAATTATTTTGTTCTTGAGCATAACTTAGCTGTCATAAGACAGGTCACCAGAGAGAGAGACATTCACGCTTAAATTCACAGTTACAGCCAACTTCGAGTTATCATTTAATCTAAGTGCATGTGCTTGGACTGTAGGAGCACCGACGCAGACACAGGGAGGAAAATAAAGCCAAATAAATGTGGCAAATGAAGGCGGCAAATGAATGTCACGCTTTTTTTGTGTCTCAGTCTCAGCAGGTTTTGGTTTTCTTAAAGTTTTAGTGTGATGATAAAAGGCCACTAGTGATCAGTTTTGCTGTATGGCAGAGCTGCACTTACCATAGCAGATGCCAGCACGGGCTTCATGACCAGGCAAGCAGGGGACACACTCGTAGGAGCCTGGCGTGTTCTCACATTGTTCATTGGGGCAAGTGTCGGGATTCAAACACTCATTTATGTCTGAAAAAGATGTGGAGAAGCTTACACGCCGTCTAGCTGTGCACATATTAACAAGTAGAGCACGTATGAATGCATATTGTAGCAACACACATAGTAGGTGCTGTGTCAGTGGGAGGCCTGTGCTCTAGTATGCAAAGTGTCACAATAACCTGTGTTTTTGTACCTTCACAGGCTGGACTACGGTGTGACTTGCTCCTAAAACCGCTGTGACATTCACATTTATAAGAGCCTGGTAGGTTCACACAACGACCCCCGATACCACAGATGTCCTGGTTAAAGCACTCATCCACATCTGCAACACAGAAAGGTCAGAGTCAGTGCAGGGATATAGGAAAAAATCATTTTAACATTGGAAAGGCTCAGCTTAACTTACCTACACACTTAAGTCTACCATGCTGCACCATGTGTTTGTAGCCTGGGCGACAGAAGCATTTGTATGCTCCCTCTGTGTTGACGCAATAGCCTCTGCCATGGCCGCACGGCTCTGACTCACATTCGTTATCATCTAGACAACAGGAGTGAGAGAATGAGTCAAGTGAAAGCAGTATTTAATACAGACAGACAGCAAAGGCTCATAAAGCTTAAGGGACAGATGGCTGGAGTTTTTCACGACAAATGAATGTTGGTCGTTTGGCGAAATCAAGTGGCTTTTACTCAGTTAAAAAAAATCAGGAAATTAAAAGCATAGAGGCTAAAAATATGAGTTTTTCATCATAGAGATTATAAACATACCCGTTTCCTTAAGAGAGCATAAATTATTTCTATTTGCACACAATAATAGAATTATTTCAGAAAAAATAAATTACCAGGGTCAATAATATAGCTGAACCTTTTATTGCAATGATAAGCTTTATCTTTTTAATAAAGAAAGTTAAAATTGATTTTAACTGGAGAAACCATTGTGCCAAAAACCAAAGAAATCAGTTTGGACTGAAAGAAAAAGAAGTGTTGATGCTCACAAAGCAGGAGATGTATATGTAAAGTTATCAAATGTCAAGAACTGGGTTGAGAAGCATCATCTATAAATTCAAAGAGAGACACACAGTACCGAACAAGCGTGACAGGTACTGTGTGAGGTAGGAAGTGAAAGATTTCAAAGACACGTGAATGACTCAGCCAAATCAGAAACCAGAACTGTGGGGAGGAACGGACTATGAGGCATCAGAGCAAGAAAAACTCCACTTCTGCAGAAGAGACACCTTCAAGTCAGACTGAAGTATGCTAAGGACAACCTGGAGAAAGATTATCCATACTGGAAGCACCGTCCGTACAGTGTAACATAGTGGTGGGAGTATTATGATGTGGGGATGCTTTAGTGTGTCTGGAACTGGGAATCTTGTTGAGGTGGAAAGAATCACGAAATAAGAAATTTTTAAAGACAACCTCGAGCTGTGTCTTCGCTTTGGTGGTCCAACAAAACAACAACATATGTGACCCCTTAACTACCTCCTCCCTCCAGAAGACCAAAGTGAACATTGCCTACTGGCCTGTCAAAGCCCTGACTTGAATCCCATTGAGAATCTGTGGGGTGAACTAAAGGAGACCATCAAATCTGGAGGATCAAATCTAAAGATTTGCTAAAGAAGAATGGGTACAGAAAGTACAGAAAATGGCACCCAGCAAAAAGATACATGACAGACTATTAGCATCATGGGAGCTAATAATTACAGGTGTAAAAGTAGCTGTTCAGTGTGAATAGGCCTGCACCGTGAAATTTGAGTTCAAATACAATTCAATACAGCTGCTACTTCTGCTATAACAGGAAATAACATGTAAAATATTCCTGTTATGTGTCTATCTTTACACCTGAAACAGCTCAAGGCACTGCACGTCAGGAAAACACATGCAATCAGTGAAATACGCCTCAAATAGCAGAAATGTTTCCCAGGGCACAAATAAGTTCTTACTGTGGTTTGGGATGTGTCATTTTGCCATTCAGTGTTTTATGACTTTGAACACATTTGAAAATGAAGTTGGTTCCATTTTAGCTGAAATTCTAACACTGCTGATGACTTTAATAATGTCAAAAGTCACAAAACATTAATGACAAGCAGACTTTAACACATCTTTATGTCACCTGGAAACCTTTGACATCTGGTTTGGAGAGTATTTCTGTATTTAGTCGTATGTTGTCATACTGATGAAGAGTTCAGTGTATTTTGTGTTTAATCTATTTGCAGGTATTTTGTAAGTTGCAATGTATTGAGCTCTTGCAGCCACTGTAATGTTTCTCAAAAAGAGATTTTTGTTGCCGTTGTTGTTTTTTTTGACATAATATTTAACATAATAGTTTTTATTCTCTAAAAGCTGTGCCTTTCCATTCCTATATGAGAAATATAGCTTGAAAAAAAAAAATATCACACACTCATATGTGAGAAACTACTCTCTGCTGGCACCTCCTGTCTCTACCATTGTCTCTTACCCTCACAGATGTTCCTCTGCGGGTTGAAATGGTAGCCAGGATGGCAGTGACAGATGTGCCCAGTCAGGCTGTTCTCACATTCTCCATGACCACAAATGTTTCTGCTCAGCCTGCATTCATCTGTCGGTGCTTCAAGGAGGAAACAAAGAACGACGTCATATATATATATACATGCATATATATGGATGCAGAAAGCTGAAAATGTCCATGCTGTGCCTACATTTTTCTGTCACTGGCTTTGTTTGCATTCTAGCAGACACTGAAATGCGTCAGACTTTTTTCCAAATTAAAGCCAGTGACAAAGCTGAATAGAAAAAGACCGACTGAAGCTGCCATGAAAGAGAAATTACACTCAAGGAAGACTCTAAAAAAAGTCACACATCTGCACAGAAGACAGACCAGATGAAAGCAGCAGAAGCACAAAAGCCGAGCCCTGTGAGTGCTTTGGATTCCTGCTATCATTCAGCACATTTTTTTTTCATTTTCATTTCATGGAAATGGAGCGTGTCTCTTACCCTAACCTGCTAACTTGCTCTTAAGTACCAGCACACTTCACCTCCATAGAACCGAGAGACTGTAAAAATGGCCTTGAGGCTGGTTCATGCTTCATGGTTGAATGCATGTGACATGCACGGTGCCCCAAAGCATCAGGTAATCACTAAAGCAAAGCATGCGTCAGATCAGATTGGCTTACTTGACTTATTCCCCCCCCCCCTTTTTTTTTTTTGTTGGATTGTTTTAGCCTTTAAAGTGGAGTGCTAAAACAACGCACAATAAAAAAAATAATTTAAAAAAATGGAGTGCATCACATGACAAATGCTGTTCACCACACGGAGAAAGTCAACATGTCATTTGTGAGAAACAAGCGCTCATCAGGGGATCTTCTCTTACTGGGGAATGTGGGGAGCTGGATTTTTCTACCTTTGTGGTGCATGAAACATGAGCCAGCATTTATATTCAGAACCCTTTAAGAGATTAATAGAAATAAAAAAATTTTAAGCTGGTTTGGCGGCTTGTGTTTGAGACTCACAGAAGACTTTTGTTTGTGTTTCGAAGGGGTCATTGCCGGGGGTCATTCGGATGATTGTCGGCGGGGTGGGTTTAATAACTGTGGAGAAATGAAGTGGGCAGACTTCAGGAGGATGTATGACATGTTCAAGTCCTGATGTTTGATCATTCTTCACAGCATTCAGTCTACAATGTCTACAGATGTTCCCTGCAGTGTGCCTTTAGTGAATGAATTTTCACACGTAGGACTCATGCAGGCGACCCTCGAGGTGCGCTTACCAGGCACACGAGGACGGGTGGTGCTGGTGGGGACCTGGTGCGCAGTGGTCGTTGTCTCTGCATGAATCTGATTGGAAGAGACAATCTGATTTTTAAACGGCAACAGCGATTGCTTTTTATTGCTGTATTAAAATGTAGAAACTATAGCTTACCCTCTTGGTGTGCTCTGAAAGAAACGGCAATAAAGGGAAATTTAAGCTCTCAATTCACATGATTCATATAAAGATTTTTCTAAAAATTGCAAAGAGATTCTTTGTGCACTTACCTTGGTTTTCATGGTCGCTGGGGACGGTGATTTGCACCGTCTCTCTTATGTTTTGCAAAAAGTAGCCTTTCCCAGCAGGGCAGAGTTTTTTGAAGGCCACTGAATGCCGTCGGGAGGAAAAAAGAGGAGAGGACTTAAATGTTGCTTTAATTCTCACACCCTGTAAAACAGGTTCAGCCAACTAATAGTAAGTTTGGAAAATCACTCCGTTGATATGTTTAAGTACAACCAAAAAACTGCATTTTGGACCCTGCAAAGAGAAATTGTCTAAAAAGCATATGGAAATCCCAAAATGCAGGTTTTGTAACTTTAAGAGAGAAAGAAACTACACTGCTTAAAAATAATTGATCTGGTCAGTTGAGTAACAGAGGGGGTGAATGGTGGTAATGAAATTAATACCAGGTGCACTCAAAGGGCAACAATGAGACAACCCCCAAAACGCTGACATTTTCCTCATCAGCAGGACCGGTATCAAGTGCTTAGTGGAAGGAGGGACAGGATGAGTACTGCTAGGGTCACAAAATGACCTCCAGCAGGTCACTGGTGTGAATGTCTCTGACCAAACAATCAGAAGCAGACTTCATGAGGGTGGCCTTATGGCCTGATGTTCTTTATTGGGCCTTGTGCTCCCTGCCTGGCATGGTGAAGTCCTATTGACACAGAGGGACACACACAAATCCACAGGCCTGACTGCCATTAGGCATCAGGATGACATCCTTTGACCCATTTTCAGACCCAATACTCCTCATGTGGAATACGCAGGCAGTTCCTGGAGGATGAATCATTAGATGCTAATCACAAGGCCCCAACACTCGCCTCACCTAAATCCAATAAAACAACTCTATTTCAGTTTATCTGGCACCAACACTTTGTACTGTCCAAGAGCTCAGTGATGACCTGATCCAGATCTAGCAGAGATTCCACCGGGACACCGTCTGTCCTCCCATTAGGAGCGTGCCCAGATGTTGTCAGGCATGTCAGCACATGGGGGCCATACAAACTACCATTCTGAGCTGCTGCAGTGAAATCTCAGCAGAGCCTACCGGATCAGACTACTGCATAATTTTTCACCTTTTTTCAGGGATCTTTGAATTCAGCCTTTTGCAGGTCAATCATTTTTATTTCATCATCAAATGATGTGGCATCCTTTCATTCCTAACACATCGCCCGGTCCATATCAGTATAGATATCCAGCATTTCCCCACTGAGCTCTTATATGTTTTCATAGTTTGACTTTAATTTGTTTTGAGCAATGTATGAATGTTTATCTTTTTAAATTAAATTATGAAAAGAAAATTAAGTATATTCTACTTAGTTCACTTAATGGCCTAACAGTTCAAAATCTCCTGCTTTTTTTTCTTATTCGATTCATCCCATCAGACTGAGGAGAGCAGAAACTGTTTACATCTGAGAAGCTGTAACGATTTAGTTTGTGCAACTATTTTAACTAATTATCAAACACAGCAGCAAACTGTATCTTCAAGCATGGGCAACAAAATGCTTGAACGCTTTCTTTTGTTATTATTATTTCTATTTCAAACTTTCATGTCATCAAGAATGAAGAGCTGAGCTGCATAATGACCTGGAAAAATCTCTACAATATATGTAGCTAAATGAAAATAATGATTATTTATTTAAAGAGGAATTCTCTGTTGATCATAAATAAGTAACTTTGTTTCTAGACTATGCTGGTGTGCAGCGAGTGGACTGATGTCCCCGTGACAAAAACGAACACGACGCTCGACGTGGCAGGAAGTAAAACTCGTAAACTGACTCACCTGTGCCCTCCTCAGGACATCTTTCACAGTTTCGGCCCCAGGCTTTGCCCACTGTGCAGCAGCATACCACCTGGGTGTGGGGGGTCGGCAGCGGGTAATTGCAGCTCCTGTCGTTGGATGCTATCCGGAAGCACTGACCCAGAGGTGGATACTCTAACACAGGAGAAAAGTGTTGTGGCAATCTATCCCGACAGTACATTACACGTTTGGAACGATTGTTTCATGTCTTGTGCTTTGTGGCTGTGCAATAAAAAGCAGAGAAGAGAAGAAAGCCAGAGAGGGTTTATATTCACCAACACATCGATTTCGCTCCAAGACAAAACCAGATTTGCATGAACACTTGAAGCTGCCCAGTGTGTTCAAACAGTCTCCGTCCTGACAGACGCCCTGCATGGAGCACTCGTTGATATCTTCAGGGTCAGAGGGTCAGGTGGAAGAAAAGATAAGTTTAAAATTAAAATGGCAGAAACAACTCCTAAACTTGGCTTTAAACTGTTCCTTTCCTTGTTATAAGCTACTCCTGGATACTGTAAAAAAAGTATTTGGCCCCTTCCTGAGTTTTAAATTTGTTTTTGCACATTTACGTAAATGTTTCAGCTCATTGAACAAATTTTAATATTAAACAAGGACAACCTGAGTAAACCCAAAATGTAGTTTTTAAATTATGTTACCTACTTGGATCTGTGTGAAAAAGTAATTGACCCCTAAAGAACAGCAAGAGCTGCAGTCAGGTGTTTGTGATGACTGCAAAGAGTCTTTCACGGGCCACACTGAAGGCCCGAATGGCCAGGTTGAAGTCATGCCAAAGCCTCTCAATCAAACTTTGATTAGGCGGGTCCAAAACCTTTACAGTGGACTTGCTGGTTTGTTTCGGATCGTTCTTCTCCTGCTAACCTAAGTGCGTTTGTGCTTCAAGACACAAACTGAGGGTCAGAGGTCCTCATTCAGGGTTTTCTGGGAGAAAGCAGAATTCATGGTTCCCTCACACTGCTCTGACTGTTTGATGGTATGATGTTCTTTTCATGAAATGTTGCGTTTGTTTTTTAATCAGACTTCGCCTCTTACAACTATAACACGTTTTATGCAAATTGGACAACGAGAAGAAACTCCAGAATTTTGTTCTACATTATGTCTCTGCCCCAGATTACAGATTCAGACTCATTTTGACAGTAAGAAAGATCAGGGACAATTTATCTTTAATTGTTTTTGAAATATTCATGTTCAAATATTGGCTCAGATTTTAATGTGTGAAAAACGGTTTGAGAGTGGGTCAATGGAACACTTTGCAAATGAAAAAAAAGAGCAAAATTACCCTGAAAAACATTTAATATATATAGGAAAAAATTCACTGACCTTATTACATGAAACTGTGTGTGATCAAACTGTGGGCCATAAAATGTTTACGCAAATTGGAGATGACGCTCAAGCAAGAAATGTTCTAAATAAGTGGCTGGTTTGACATGGAGTGACCCAAATTTGAGACGGGCCTTTGTGCTCTTTGTGGTCAGCAGTGGTTTTCTCCTTGGACTCTCACACGGCTGCCTTTTTTGTCCAGTCTCTTTCTTATTGTTGAAACATGAACTCTGACCTTGACAGATGGAAAGTGATGCCTGAAGATCCTCTTGGATGAGTCGTCGCTGCGCTCTTGGAGTCATTTTGGTCAGCTGACCACTGCTGGGAAGCTTCACTACTGTACCAAGATTTCTCCATTTACGGATAATGGCTCTCACCGTGGTTCATTAGAGTCCCAAAGCCCCTCATTACTGAGGGGAATTACTTTTTCACAAAGGGTTTGGATAACTTAACTAAGGTCATATTTTAAAAACTGCATTTTCTATTTACTCAGGTTATCTTTGTCGAATATTAACACTTATTGTTTAAAGTAAGAATTCAGGAAAGAGGCTCTAGTTTACCTTTACAGTGAGTGCTGTTGAATCTTTTATAGCCTTGGGGACAAGTAGAGCCATAGTCTTCCACAATGTTCTGTTTGACTGATGCATCTGAGGAAAGACACAGCAGAGCACACAGGTAAAGGTATATGAAAAGCAGAGAGTTTGACATCAAATTATACAAAATGTAAGGTAAATGCACTGCAGTTGCAATTTTGTATACTTCAAATACTACAACAGCCCTTTACAACTAATCAAGCAGCTGTGAAACTCCCACATCACCTGTACTCAGGTATTCTCGTCTAAATCTCATCAGTAAATCTTATATAAGGCTTTAGTGTCTCCCTACTGTTGCTACAGATCTGCAAACTGTTTTGCAACCCAGCTCCACCCCTGCCTCTCCTTTCATGCTGTGTCTGACAATCAATACGGTATCCTTTGTAATGCCTGTTCTGTTCTGCCCAGAGATCTGGCTGCTGTTCTACACACCTCCAGCTTTCCACACAAGCAGGTAGAACAAGAGGAAGTTCCTACACTAAAGTCACAACACTACCTATAGTTTACTGCAGGTGGAAATGAGAGCTTTCTTTTGGATGTAGTGGTCCCCGTTATCTGTTCATGCAACACTTTTTCACGTCCCTCCTAAACTCTTTTCTAAACAAAACCGCTTCCATGACTTTTTGAACAACTGTCACACAATCAAAGCCTTCAAGCAAAGCGTGAGAAAAGTGAGAATAGTTTTGTAATTATTGTAGAGGTGTGGGAGTTTAATTCTTGATAGGAAAAAACACAGAAGTCCTAGTTTTAAACGTCAGTAATTGGGGGAAAGCACCTTTTTACTGCGAGCTAGGTGACAGGGCTGTCTCCCAGTGTCTGTGGAGGCTCTCTGCAGGTCTCCCACAGTCCAAAGACACGGCAGTCCAAAAACACGAGTTTGGACTGTGAAAGTGGTGTTTCTAAATCACCCATAGGCGTGAATGAGTGCATGAATGAGTGTCTGTCTTTTTGTGTTAACCCCTTTTGACGGACCACCTATCTGGAGGGTACCACACCTCTCACCCAATGACAGCTGAGATAGACACCAGACTGAAGGGGATGGTTAAAAACTATTGCCTGCAATTCAGTTCAATTCAGTTTAATTTATATAGTGATAAATGTCAACAACAGTTGCATCAAGCAGTTTTATGTTGTAAGCCTACAATAATACAGACAAATACCCAAACTTGAGCAACTGTCATCAAGAGCAAGCACTTGGTGACAGTGGAAAGGAAAAACTCCCTTTTAACAGGAAGAAACCATCTGCTGCGATTGGTTCAGGTTGAAGGGACAAAAAAAGTTTTCATCTGCACAAAACTGCACGTTTATGTCTCAGTAATTGCTACTTCTCATTTTTTATGTATTTGTCTAATTGTGTGGTTATACAGATCAATGTTCCTTTAATACTTTTTAGTTTAAGTTCCATTCTTAGGTCTGAACAAACCTTCCCTTTCTTTTTGTTTTCTTTTCTAATCATAGTTGTTTGAAGTCTTGGGGTGGTAGCCTGCAAGAGAACTGCCTTAAATTTTCTTTCATGAGACCTGAAATAATAAACCACGGTATTCTCCTCCTCCTTCTTACTGTTCAACTTTCCATCAGGGAGTAAAAACATGCAAAGCAGTTTTATGACAGAGCCGTGGAAACACTGCACATTGTGAAATCACAATGGAAACAGAGGCAACACCGCAGCTTACTTTTGTCATCTCATTGAAAAAGAAAAAAGAGATTAAAAATACAACCAGGTGTAACAAAACAGATAGCACTGTTTTGCAAAAACAGCTTTTAAAAGACTAACCAGGATCAGGTTTTGTCAAAGGCCACATTGTCTGAAGCCAGAACTGAGAGAGGGAATAATAGCGGAGTGGAAAAAGCACGAGTAGCCAAGATTTTCATGAAATTTGATCTTCTGCAGCACGATGACAGCGCTGAACTGGGCAGGCCCATAGGAACATGCTTAACTAGAGGGTTATTTTCCACATTCTCTTTTTCTGTCTCGCTGTCTGTGTGTAATTCTCATAATTTCTTCCGTTTCCCCCACCTTACCGCTAACTTTCATGTAGACGTTCAGACACTCGTTTTTTTAATAGAGGTACAAAGTGATTGTTTTAATCCAGGGCCATAATTTCAGAAGGTGGAAGGTATAAATTGGTGGGAATGCTTCACATTTTTGGCTCAATAAACAGTAATTTTATTCCCGGGAACACACAAGATGTTAATTTAAAAAAAAAAAAAATCTTAATACTGTAGATAAAGATGAAAGATAAACCCTAGATGTGTGACATTTACAAAGCTGGTAAAAAAGGACATTTCTTGAGGTACTCACTTGGTAATTTGGGGCACTGATAACATTTGTTTTGTCCCCATGAATTCCCCACACTCCCACAGCAATCCTCCTGATTGGTCAGAACAGGAAGCGGGGTGCTGTTGCACTAAAAGACCAATATTGAGAAATATTAACAATGGCAAAACAAGGAACGCATCTATATTTCAAGTTCAAAACTTCTTACAACTGAACTCACGGCTTGTTTGGGCGTGGTCTCTTGAAAGCAGCGTCCCTTTGGTTTGCGCCTCACCAGGACCTGGCGTGTCCCCGTCTTGTGAGGAGGTTTGATATCCGTTGAGTCGAGTGAGTGAATGATTACGGAGGTGTCTGGCGTGTGGTGAACACGTACATTAAACTGCACTGGAAGAGAAAAATCAGATATGAAAGGAAAGGGAAGAAGAGATATTACAATGTGAAAAGTGCTGAGGCAGACGATAGGTACCTTCTGAGGAGTGATGCCCCGGCTGTGATAAGGGGACGTTGAAGATTGACATCGACGACGTGTGTGTGAACTGGCTGCGGCTTATGCTCGACTCCACAAATTTCTGGCCGTCTGGCTTTAAAGCTACGGGGTACACAGGCTGCTCGTTGCCTCGCGCTGCCTGGGCTTGCTGAAGAGGAAACTGGCAGAGTCGACCGGTGAAGCCGGGAGGGCACAGGCAGTGCTTCCTCGAGCTGCATACTCCTCCATTCAAACACGTCAAGGGACACACAACTGCAGAGAGGAAAAGGCAACAGGCGCAGTCTTAGAAATATAAGTTGATAAAGCATGTATTCATTGATTCACTAAAATACAAGTATTTCATACTTTGAAATCCATCAATATGTATTCATGAGTTTTGTCAGACCAAAAGTGCTGATTTAGGATCCCCTGAGTCAGAGGCAGACTTTTATATGATCTTTCATAGAGTGATGTGAACAGCCTTATGATTCAGTAATGTACAGCATAAGTATGGAAGACAGGCCAATGGGTTTGCAGCATAAGCAGGGCAGCGTAAAATCTTCACTTTGAACCGTGCCACCATAAAAAAAATGAATGAGTCCCTGAAGCCAGTCGGCCTGAGCAAGAAAGCAGGTAAAGTCATTGATCTGTATAACGGCTTCACTGTGGCATATGGGAAAGATCTTGAAGTTCGTGGGAAAGCGGCTGGCCTTAAAGGCATATACAGTACTCGCTGCAGGTTTATTAGGTTCCCCGCTGTGTTTATTTAAGTGCAAAGTTGTTGAAATTCCCACAATAAGAACAATCGCAGGAAAGAGATAAGAGAGAGAGCAGGACTGTAAGAAAACAGCAAGCAGTGATGAATCCACAGAGAAAGATAAAACCCAAACAAGCTAGTGAAGTGGGAGTGAAAGCTTAGTCATGAAGGCCATCTCGTTATTGTGCTTCGATCCATGTTAGGTCTTTGTAACATCCCAAATGTTTGTGATACCTGAGCATCAGTAAAACTACCAAACACATGCACTGCAATTATGAATTAACATCATGAGCCACACGTATACTTAAGAGCAATTCAAGACAGTTATTATTAAATGTGCTGCAATTACATCACACAGCAAAAAATATTCACTGGCCACTTCATTAGGCACAGCAGTTCGACTGCTCATTAGTGCAACTTGTTTAATCTTATCAGCCAATCACATGGAACCAAATCAATACATTTTGTTCAAACTGTGCATTAAAATAGGAAAAGAAAGATTGTTTGAAACTGCCGCGGTTTTTGGTGCCGGACTGAGTGCTTTAGAAACTGCTGACCTGCTGAAATTTTACTCCACAGCCATCTCTAGTGTTTACAGACAATGAGCCAAAAAAAGAAAATATCCAGTTTGTGGCAGAAAATGCCTTGTTGATGTAAGAGGTCAAGGGAGAATGACTGCTTCAAGTCGATAGGAAGGCAGCAGTAAGGTTAGCAGCCACTTGTTACAATCAAGGTATGCAGAGGAGCATCTCTGAACGCACAAGGTGTCACGAGACACTGAAGCAGATGTTGCCTGGTCCGATGAGTCTCAACATGAAAACATGGAACCATCCTGTCCTGTGTCAACAGCGTAGGCAGGATAATGCCCCATGCCACAAAGTTAAAAACATCTCAAACTGGTTTCTTGCAACATGACAATAAGTTCACTGTACTCAAACGTACTTCAGCAGTCATCAGCATCATCTCATGTGATGGAATAGGGGATTCACATCACAGGTGTGCAGCCGCAGCTGCGTGATGATGTCATGGCGGTATGATTGACATGAAACAGATGCTTTGGGAAAATTACACATTATAACTAAACACATCCAGAAAAGGTGTATATAGGGTGCATAACAATGTGACTGTTAGAGCGAAACATCTGAATGATGATGCTCACACAGTAATCTAACAATGAGTTAAATGGTGCACTTTATCAAACCGCTGAGCCCTGCCTTGAAGAAACACGCCTTTACCGCATAAAGATGTTCATCTTTAAGAC